CTTTGGATACTTGTATCCCGGCCATTCTTTGCCATAACTACACTAGTATAATCTTTCATTTGTTCTCTTTGCACCTTGAGGACATTGTGCCATTTAAGTTTAGGGGTAATGGTGTTAATTACAGTATTTGTTTTCAATTCAAATTTTAAGCATGACTTGTGTATTTGAGGGATTGTTTATGATTGGTCCATAACTAGCTATGACCTTGATCTTTTGAGACTATATTGCTTAAAATTTAAAAAAATTGATTAAATTGAGAGTCCAATACTCCTTGTATGCCTTGTGGATGCCATTTAGGAGTAAATTTTTTGAAAGATTAATATCTTAATTGCACTTGTGGTCTACACCATCTTAATTTTGTGATTGTTTTGAGATTCACTCTAGGATTCTACACTATGTTTAGACGAAAAAAATTGAGTAATCTCAAGAAGAGATGACAAAGTAGCTGAACCCCTGCTAGCTTTCTTAGTTATAGCCCCTGGTGGATTTAGACTTGTTACAAGCCCTAACATCCATTTAAGACATAATCTCAATATAATGAGCTTGGGGTGGAAGTGAAATCTCAAATTGCTGATACAAACCCATGATGATTATAGGGAATGGAGATGACTTCTTCTTAGTATTGTTCTTGTAGTATGCTACCATCAATCCATAAATAGAAACATCAAGATGTATCTGTGCATCAATAGTTAGAAGATATAATACCTCTACACAATCTGAGGAGATAACATCCTTCTTCCCGAAGTAACCAAGATTAGAGATGGCAAACAAATTTAGAAACGCTGCCTTATCCGTGGATAACAAGATGGTATATACTCGGGATATCTCGGCGAGTCTGGAACACACAAAGAATTACAAATATCTTCCCACTTCAGTCCTGACTTGTCAAGTGGAAGATGATAGCCTGTGTTTGTAAAACTCTTAGGTGTACCAAGAATTTTTCTGATCACCTCTTTATCAACCATATAGTCCTTGCCAAATAATGACACTTCAAAATATCCAGAATTGTGAACTTTTCGGATATTTGAGTAACAATAGTGAACCATATTTGGACTGTAGGTACTCTCCATCCTTGTGAAGAAAAGCCAATTATGTTTCTTAATGTAGTCATCGAGCTTTTTCCCTAGATTTTCTTTGAGCTTCTTCAAGTTCACATTGCGTTCTGACTTAATTGAACCATCTTTATACACCTTAGTGTATACCTTCCATGCATGCTCATTGTAGAAGTGGTCTTGAGCAAACTCAACCTTCCCGATGTCAAAAACTGAAGGATACCTAGGTGGTATCGCAGTAGAAGGTGAAGAAGAATGCATGGAAGAAGTTGGTTCATCCCTTGGAGTATGTGACCCTTCTTGTGGTTCCCGGATGGAAATCATTGTTCGGGCTTTCTTTGGAGGTGGAGAAATAGTAATTCCCTTTCCTTTGGCCTTTTTGGATAATCTTAGAGGCATCTTGTGTTCAGAAAATTTTGGTTTGAAGCCCTGGAGTTCACTCGGTAATTTTGTTAAACACTTGGAGTGCGCTGCAACTCTTGTTCTTGAACAAATCTTGTTTCAATCTTCAATAACCCCAAAAATCAACCCAACAAGACAAGCATAAATTTTTAAACAATTAGCCTCAAAGCTTTCAATGTCAACCCCAAGAATCTTCAAAAAAATCTCAACCAAATTCTTTAAGTTTCTTTCAACCCTAAACTCCTTAATCTCAATCTTCAACTTCCTTTAATATTTAAATCTCAAGATCAAATGAATGATTCCATGTTCAACATGTAATATATGATGAAGTGATGCAAGATTGATACAAAATATATGAAGGTATATATGTATATATGCTTGAGAAAATATAAAGAGAGAGAGTATGTATAGAGAGAGAGTATGCATCAATGCCCAACAAAAAACAAAATGGGTTCCTCTTATGCCAATTCATGCTACTAGGAACTGGTAGCTAAGTTGGGAACCGGTTCCCAAAAGGTAGTATGCCTTTGTAAAGTGAGGATCACTTTGGAATTGGTACCAAACTTGTGGTACCGGTAACCAAGCTCCAGTAAGGCACTACAAGAAATTAGGTTTTTAGTGACGGTCGAATCTGTCCCTAAAAGTCCTAAGACCTTCCCTAATGATCGAAGTCGACCATCCCTAATAGTTGTGTCCCAAAAGATTTTTAGGGACGGTAAAAGTTGCCCGTCCCTAAAAAGTTCAACCTTTAGGGACGGACTTTGTGTCGCAAATAAGACCGTCCCCGTTTGATTTATTAGGGACGGAGTTACTGTCACAAATAGGCCGATTTATTAGGGACGGACTTACTATCCCAAATAATACCGTCCCCTTTGATTTATTATTGGGGACGGTATTTACTGTCCCTAATAGTCCTTTTGATTCATTATTGGGGACGACATTTACTGTCCCTAATAGTCGATATTTTAGAGACAGTTTGTTATCTGTCCCTAATTACAATACTTATTAGACACAGCTTGTACTGTCCCTAATATGATTTACTGTCCCAAATATGATTTTATTATTATTATTATTAAATTTGTATTATTATTATTATTATTATTTTTTTTTTTTTGGTTTTTTCTCGGCTGAATTTGTGTTCTAGAAAAACTTATTAAACGAAAACATCCGGAACTAAAAAATACATACATCCACAACATCATTCTAAAAAGAAAAAAATTGATTATCACAATAATAAAGTGCCAACAAACAAGCTCTTAATCTCATGATGAAACTACAAATTCTCCAATTTTGTAAACAACTAAAAGTATGTACTAGCTGCTTTAACATCAAATGGTTCCAAACATCCTCAAAAATTAAAACATCATTTTAAACTGAATGAAATCATGAAAATGCAGGCCAAAAAATACACGTACCAAAATAGTTAGAAATCAGCTAGCTAGCCATCAAAAAGTTCCAAAATATATCTACCAAAACAATTGTCTTTATAGTTCATTCAGGTGCTTGTTGGTGGTTGCTGATACCAGCTTGGCGGCTATTAATACCAGTTTGGCGGGGTATGCTGCTGTTGGGAATGTGATGGAGAATGTTGATATTGGTGGAACCATGGTGGTGGCGGCTGTTGGTGCTGTTGTTGCTGCTCAAGGAGTTATTGTTGCTGCTGTTGTTGCTGCTCAAGGAGGTGTTGTTGCTGCTCGAGTAGCTTCTGAATTGTATCCAACTTCTCCTCTAAACTTGTAACTTTCTCCGTAAGTTCTGCATTTTTTTCTTCAACATTTTTCACCCTTTGTCTAGAAGCCTCTTCAAAAGATGAGGATGAATGCAGGCTTAGAGCTACAAAACCATTTCCGAACCCACGATGATATCCCTTTCTGATACCTAATTGGTTTTCCACTATCTCAACATCATTTACGATAAGACTGGTACCATCAGAATTGTGAGAAACTTCTGAAAACTTCTCTTTCATTGCTTCCTGAAATTAAGATTAATGTAGTGTTAAGCATCAATAAGTCAATAAAAAAGTAATATTGCAATCAATAACTGGACAACTTTTTTCATTCTAAACTAAAGAAAGGTTCTCAGTTCTATGGTCACCTTTTCTTCACTTTTCTGATTTTTTTGCATTTCTTTACTCTACTGATATTTCCTGCTTATTTTCCTCATTTGCAGTATTCTATTTTCATTTCAATACTGACAGTAGGAAAAAACACAAAATAAATGTGCTGTACTGGTATGTTGTTTAGCATTATTGTCTTCAATTTCACAAATAAGAGAATAGGTACTCCATATTAGTCTATGAGAGATATTTTTGTCATTTAATTAGTTTAAGAAATAAACAAATGATGTACATTTTTTCAAATACAAGAGTGGGAATCTGACTTCATTAAAGTAGAATATATTTTATATATCCATGCGAGCAAATTAATATACTTAGTCAAGCATTAATGTATTGATTAATTTATTAATCTTGGCTCCTAATTTATTAGACGACGTGAGTTTATTGTGATCGAGATCTGATAAAAACAGTCTAACTGTAGCTACATTAATAGTGTAATTAACAATAATAAAGCGCGCACACACACCCCAATTCATGGTTGCCAATTGCAAGAAGAACAGTTCAATGGTTTGCCAATATAGAGGAAAGGACACAACAGTCTCACAACACAAGACAGTCACTCAATGTGTAATTTTGTTTTGTGCATATATCTCTCTGAAACTTGTCATAAATTGATCACATTTCCATGATTTCACTTGAACTTTTGTTATAATAAGATTTAGTAGAAACACTATACAAGTTTTACACATAAAATCCATAATGTTATATTGAAGTTCTTAAATTTCAAGAGATTTCATAAATTTGTTATTGTGATCCAAGTCAACAAACCCTGCATGTTACTATTTGATAAATTTTATTTTTTTTGTTTCCTGTTTCATGACGTGGCGTGGTGGTTTTCCAGTAGATGGGGAAGCTCTGCATCTCAGTACATATTTTATGTTGCCAACAAACTTTCTGCCACAGCTTGTCCTACATTTTTTTGGACAAATTTAATCTCATTAAAATTGCAACATTATAAAAAAATGGACATTCATGTAATTTCATAAAAAAAACACACAATTTTTTTAAATTAAAATTGACCCTAAGAAGCCAAACTTTAGAATAATATCTCGGAAAACATATGCAACTAAATACCTTCAAAATATCGTGGTCTGGATTAGCACCATATAAAGGACAAATGGGTGTAAGTGCAAGCAACTAGAGCTGAAAATGAATGGAATTATTCATGAAAGCTCGTTAAAAGCTTAGCTCGATCTCATTATATACAAGTAGCCCAATTTCATTCATATATTTTATTGGCCCATTAAGTATTTAGAAGCCCATCCAACAAATAAAATTCAATAAGTAATCCAATCGCGATTTTAATAAGTGATCCGCTAGCCCAAAATATAGTTTCATCTCAGCCATTGAATTTTGTACGGTATATATCAAAGGATAAGATAAAAAAACCTAAAACACAGCCGCATACTTCTGTAACCGCGAAGGCTATATAAACGTCTTTTCCTCCGTCTCTCTTCTACCTGACACATTGGCTCTCCACCTACTCTCTTTAATCTCTTATTTGACTCTCTTCTCGTTTCATTCTAACATAGAACTTCATCTCTTCTTCTTCCCTCTTCTCTCCTCATTATTTCATTCCTTTCTCTCTACTTTCTGCCTACTTCTCTCTCCGTCCATATTTTCTCTTTTACCATCCATCTAAATCACCCTCGAAACATGAAAAAAAAAAATCATAATTCTATTTTCGTCCCTTTCTCTATACTTTCTGGTCACATCTCTCGCCTTATCACAATTTCTCTTCTACTACCATCTAAATCACCCTTTAAAATGTAGAATACCATGCGGCCCAGAATTTGTAGCCTTTGTCAAAGCAAAAGCTGAATATAAAAAATTAGCCATATCGAATAGTAAGAGAGAGTGAGTTGAGAGAGCTATGATAGGAGAGGGGATATTGAAATTCGTCCTTATAATGCAGGACCCAAGTATTGACTTAACTCTGGCCAAATTTCAGACGAACCATTTTCCAATTCTAACTCCCTCCACTTTTTCCAATTCAAGTTTTAAAATAAATAATTCAAACTACAATAAATTTCTCACTCAATATCTACATAGCCAGTCTTCTATCTCCCCCAGCCTCACGGCGCTCACCGCCGCTTGCCACCGCCACCAATTGCATTTTAGGTTCCTATCAGCGATAGTCTCCCATCTCCTCCAGCCTCACGGCCCTCGCCGCTGCCTCCCATCTCCCCTAGCCTCACGGCCCTCGCAGCTGCCGGCCACCAATCGCATTTCAGGCGAAACTGGTATATTGTTCTTTGTACTAGGGAGATTTTATTTTTTCAGTTTGTGTTCGGTGGATATTATTATTTTTTTTTTTCTTTTTCTTTTTTGTCTTTCAAATTGTTGGTAATTAGCTGCAGATTCTGAAGTTTGAGTAGCATAACCCTAAATTCCCCAATTTTGCTTCAGTTTTGGCTTTTTAGCCAGCCCGTGATTCGAATTTATATAAAGTATTATGATATTCTTAGTCTAGGAATATGACTGGAAGCATCTTACTTGATGTTATTACAATGGCAGACAAGGATAAGAAATTGAATGCAACTTACATTATCAGTGTTGGTCGAAAGCTTGGGTGCTCCATTTTCTTATTGCCTGAGGACATAATTGAGGTAAGAGTATAATCATTTTGAACTTGATCGCTCAGAGGTTCAGTCACTACACAAGTACATCTTGGAAATCACTTCATTTGGTAGGTGTTAGTGTTACAGTGGCACTAATGGTTGTAGTTGTCAAATACCAACTCCCTAGATGATATCAACTTTTAATGGTAGTTACCCAGCCTCTTGAACTTGTTGCCACCCTTCATCTGATTGATTCAACCCATAGTCTTCCTATTGATGGAAACTGGTGTCACTTGGTTGACCTCATCATTCTATCAATGGGTTGGCGAAGGTTTATAGTGTGCCCATCACTATACATATTAAGTGTTGGTAGAGATGTCAATCTGTCATCTGACATTTCATGGTTGGTTCTAGCCATCACCAGCTAAAATGGAATAATTTTGGTTGTGGTTTCCTAAATATGACCAGGAAGTTTGAGAAATAAGAAATTGGTACATTTCACATTGGATTAATACGTAAATTCAGTGTTAAAGTACACTGTAATTTTGATTGTGTTTGACAGGTGAACCAGAAGATGATCCTCACCCTAACAGCAAGCATCATGTACTGGAGCCTGCAACAAAAAGCTGAGGATTCAGAGTCAACCACACCTACAGAAGACAAGAAAGCACCGGAGGGCGACAAATAATAAAACCTCTCCAAAAAAGTTGAAAACAAGAAACCTCACCGCATAATCCAAAGGATAACTCTAGGTGGAGAATGACCAAGAATAGCAACTCCCAAAATTTTTTCTTCGAGCCCTTACTTTCCTTTCGAGGACAAGAAAAATGAAAATCCAGTTGCAGTTAGTTGATCTGTGAGATGGTACTCCTGTATGGGACAGGGCATGGTCAATTTTGTTCTGATCAACCACAAAAAAAGAGAAGTTCTTGTAAATTTTACCTTGTGTAATTATAGTCTACTGTTCTTATGTATATTCTTTCTCACAATTGTTATATTGATTATATAATGAATAATGCAACTGGGGAGAAATTATCCTCAGTGTCATACTCCATGGGAATCTCTTCTTTAATCCACTTTTTTCAGGCGTCTTACACTTGCATAGATTCTTATGAAGGTCGGAATTATGCCAACAAAAAGTAATAGAAAATTAAAACTAGAGAGTTCGATAGTCAGTATGCATTTTAGCACTTGCAACGCATATAAGGTCAGGGATTTTTTTAATTTATTTTTATTTTTATTTTTATTTGTCTGTGCAGGAAAGCTAGCAGTTATAATTGGGTCTTGTATAGGTATTTTGCAAAGTAATATCACAGGACACTCACGATTTCTCCTGTTCTCATTTCTCATTTCTGTTTTCAAAGCCTAATTCGCAGATGATGTCGTCTCACAGGAACCCTAATCAAAGCAAAAGACCTAATTCCCATCTGATTAATTCCCACTCTTAACGCCCCAATTCATATACATTGTACTGAAACCACTTTACACACGGATTCTTTACACACGGATTCTTTTAATTTGTAAAGTTTTTAATTTAGATATAACCTTTCTGCATATAAGTATATATACTGTAACTAATTGACTACACATACACACACACACAATCTTATTATCAAACAAGATGGCAATAATAACACATTAAGAAAAATAAAAAGAAAGTAAAATGGAGGAAAAAACTTACGTAGTTCTATTTAGCTATCTCGCTTACCCATCCAGTTTCTTCCCTAAAATGTGTGTCCTTGTACATGCGAATAGCGGGACCTTCCTCAGGACTTTCAACTTCCTCATCTTCTTCGTTTTGCCTTTCTTGCCTTTCTTGACTTTCTTTCAGCTGCAACACAAAATATGATTTAGATGGATAATAAATTGAAATTTTATAATAATTATTATAAATATTACGTACATAAACATTATAGCGTCTGGCGAAAGACATCGATCTAGAAACATAAGGAATCTTATTCTTCGAATGGTTGCCTTTATTTCTGTCACTTATTTTCTACATAGCAATTCAAACAATAATATAAGTTAAGAAACCTAAATAGCTAGTCAATCAATGCATCATAATCAATGATTTCAAGTAATTAAAAGCAAGTGGTTAAAAATCCGAACTTGAAATTCTGGTGACATCCACCAATCGCACATTTTTCCCCAAACATCAATATCAATAATACCATAAGGATGCAAGCGTGCATTCTCAATTGGAAGATGCTTGTCAAAATGATTCTTCAATTTATATCTATATTTCCTCAAGTGTTCGGACATTTCCTTAGTTACTCGCTTGAAATCAGTTTCATTGTCATGTGCATCCACTCCAAAGGTCACCTTTATAATGAACATTTAATTTAAGTTAAAAAGAGCACAATAATTCACAAAACAAATAGCATTGAAAATATGAAAAATAACTAACAAGTCAACAAAACAAGTATTTTAAGAGAGTGGTATCTCACTTTCTTAAACTAGAGTTCTTCCCTAGACCCCTCATATATGTGATTGATATCTTTATTTTATATTGTGTAACAGTAAAGAACCCTTATAATACACTGAAAATGATTAACGGAGAAAATTTAAATGCAAGGGTGTGCAGAGTATGCTAAAACTGTCCCTCAATATTACCCTCTTCTGATTCACCTTAAAAACAAATTCTATTGTAGCGATGTATTAGTAAAATAAGCAATGACAATAAAATCTTTTTAACAAAGTTGAGAACATGCTATAACCACGTGTTCTTGATCACATATATAGACTAGTAATTAAGTCATATCCCTGAGGTGCCTCAATGCCTTACATATATCGGCCATATCAAAAGTAGTGAGCCCAGAATCAGCATATCGAAGTATAGCATCAACTGCATTGTCCTGGTCAATTCTTCCCCAACCACCACTTGTCTGCCACATCCCGTTAACAACTCGGCAGATGTTCAATGAATCTTTTCCATTCTTAACAACAGTCCACCGTTTATCTTCAGTTACCGCACATTGGATTGGTCTTAAATGCAGTTTTTGTATCATAGTCCCCCTTTCAGATTTTATTTTGATTGAATTGAGGGTAAATTTGCTAAAAGATTGGTTCAGGAACTCTGCCATTGAGATGGAAGAGCTAGAATATAGATAGAGAGAGAGAGAAAGAGAGAGAGAAGGGAAATTAAGTCCTATAGGCTAGTATGTATGCATATGTAGATATATAGAGAGAGAGCTTAAGTCCTCAAGGGTGGGTTGTTACACACTTATGTTATGAACAAATAGTAGAAAGAAAAATAGTGACTGGTCCAGTTTAGAAGCAGTTTTATCCTATCTGCTTCTAATTCCGTGTCTCAGCCCACCACCATTTTCTTTCTTTTATTACTGTATTATTGTTTGAGAATCTTGTTTAAATGCATCATGTGTTTTTGTATCCTTGTGGTACCAAACTTCAGCTTGACTAAAATACCCTAAAGGGTTGTTACACACTTGTGTTATTGAACAAATAGTAGAAAGAAAAATAGTGACTGGTCCAATTTAGAAGCAGTTTTATCCTATCTGCTTCCAATTTCGTGTCTCAGCCCACCACCATTTTCTTTCTTTTATTACTGTATTATTATTTGAGAATCTTATTTAAATGCATCAAGTGTTTTTGTATCCTTGTGGTACCAAACTTTAGCTTGACTAAAATACCGTAAAGGGTTGTTACACACTTGTGTTATTGAACAAATAGTAGAAAGAAAAATAGTGATTAATATTACTGATTGCAACCTTAGAAGTAGCAAAATGGGCGTTCATTGAATTTAAGGGCAACACAACTGAACCCAATTAACTATTTGGTCTACTCTAATCAAGTTTTTAGTTCTTGAAAAATACTGTATAAAACAAAAAGTACATGTCTTGATAAATTCATTCCAAATTAGATTTTCTCTTCAATTAAACAGAGGGTGAATATGCAATTTAGGAAATTCCAATTCCAGATTTATGTTTAAAAGAAGAAAAAAAAAAAAAAAACTCCTAAAATCAAATACCCTTTAATTCCACTTTGTGACATGTAATGGAGATTTTCTCCTCTTGTAATTGTTCCTCTTTTGAATATTTATAAAAAACAAATACCCATTCAAGAAAAAAAAAAAAAAAGATATAGAATATAAAAGAACTCATTACCTTAAAATGGTCATAGCAGACCTGTCTCTCATAATATGGAATTTCCCTCCACGTTTTATATTTCAATAATGCTTCTTTATCTCTCGCATGGATGCCAACCTCAGCCGTCCATAAATTGTGATTTTTGCCAACGGGTTTAATATAACCCGTCCCAAACTCTACCGGAATTGGAACATCCTTTCCATAGAGGTCCTGAGCTTTGTGTAGGGCTATATTCTTTGCTTTTCCACGCCCTTTTCGTACTGGGCCTGAAAAAAAAAAAAATTATCAACTTAATTAAAACATAGTCATTCTACAAAAATGTTGTAGTTAATTTATGATGAAGCATAATTATCACCTCCACTTGGTTGTGGCCTCGTCTGCGAAGTATTACCATCACCTTCCATAATAGGCTATTGACTTATTAAATTACTACCATCAGCTTCTCCACTCGGTTGTGTGGCAGCTGAACTTGTAGATGGTGTCTCAGTTCGAGTTTGAGTCACGCTGGACCTTAATATTCTACGCATTAGTGCCTCTGAAGTGTCTATAATTCTGTTTACAAGCTGATATGAAGAATCAAGTAATATTAAATCAAAATAAACAAGCATATGCATAATACATTCTGAGTCATTATTTGATATTGGCTACTTCAGAACATAAACAGAAAATAAATCAAGTGATCTAAGATTAGTTTAAATAAATCAGAAAAATAATGAAGCACACAACCAAACTAAAAGATAAATATATTGAAAAAGAGAAGGAACTCAATTCTAGATAAAGTTCACATAATGTATTAATCATAATTCCAAAAAAATACAGCGCATGCGTAACAATACAAAGCTTCATATGTTATCCAAATCAGTATCATCTTCGGACAACAGTTCTGGTTCCTCATCTAAACTATACTGAACGTCATCTCTATCATCATCCTCGTTAACCCAAAAGTCGTCATTAATTGCTGCTTCACCACTACATTTTTCAATCACTTCAGCATTAAGGGTTTCACCCTCTAAATCGTCCCTGTTCAAAGAGAGTGGATCCATGTCCAAGTCCACTTCAACAATCCTATCCACAATGCTTGGTTCATTCTCTTGGTACGCTGCAGTGTTAAGCATTTCATCCTCTACTACTGTTTCACCCTCTTTTTCAGGTACATCAAATGAGCTTCTATTTGTTATATCTTGAACTACTTCCCATGTCCCTTGAAATTTGTTGTCTTTGACGTAGAAGCATTGTTTTGCTTGATTTGCTAACACAAATGGCTCATTTTTGTAAGCTCTACTGGCTACATTTACGCTTTTAAAATAGGTATCCTTATGTATACCAATCCTAACATCAAACCAATCACATTTGAAAAGGAAGATTTGTCTACCCAGTGGATATCGTAACTCAATGATATCTATTAGTTTACCATAGTAATCTTCACATTCTCCTTTCACTAACACACCACAATTCTGCGTTCATCAGTTTTATTCCCTTTCCTTAGTATGGAATCTAATCCCATCTACAATACAAGCAGAATATCGACTTACTAGAGATCCAGGTCCACACGCTAGCGAATACAAATCATCACAAGTTGTTTCCTTTTGATGATGACGTATTTTCAAGATCTATTGAAAAAATTGTAGTGTTAAATAAATGATGACACATCAATTTCGTTAAATAAAAGAATTTGATTAATTAAGTCCAATTTATACATGATGAACTTACTTGTGTTTCGAACCATCTAGAAAATTCTTTTGCATGTCTTTGAGGAACATTTCACGGATCTTGTCTCTCAAGTTCCACCTTGTGTTTCCTAAATAATTAGATGGTGTTAAGATAAAATTGTGTACATGTATTAAAAAGACTATATATTCACATAGGCTGACATGATATGACATGTAATAAGTTACTTACTCTTCGTATGACTCAACTACTCCAGAATTTTGTAACACGTACAATCGAGCCATTTCCATGTCCTTACGAGACAATATCTCCAAACTTTGCGCCCCTAGAGGTCGAACTACTTGCTTTAGATCTGAAATAGTGGTCCAATTATTGTTGCAATCCCCCTCATTATTTCTTTCTTCTCGATTGAACCGTGTCTCAATCCCTCCGAGAAATTTTGAACAAAATGTCAAGCATTCATTATCTAAGTAAGCTTCAGCAGTAAACCCTTCAGGACGTGCTTTGTTACGCACGTACAGTTTGAGGGTATGCAAAAATCTACATAACCATTAAAACTATTACAAATATTAAATCTAACAGACCATTAGAACTTGTCATAAAAATAATGTTTGTGTATTAAAAAAAGTACAGTACCTTTCAATGGGGTACATCCACTGATATTGTGCGGGGCCAGCAATAATGGCTTCACGCGGCAAATGCAGAGCCAAGTGCACCCTAATGTCAAAAAATGACGGAGGAAATATCATCTCCAACTTGCATAGTATAATAGCAATGTCCCTTTCCATTGCCTCTAAGACATCCACTTTAACAGTTCGACAACACAATTCCTTAAAGAATAAACCAAGCTCTGCTATTGCGTTACAAATATCTGAATCTAAGAATCCTTGTATAGCTATGGGGAAGAGGCGCTGTAAGAGAACGTGTGAATCATGACTTTTCAATCCAGATATCTTACAATTATTAACATTCACACACCGACTTATGTTCGAGGCATAGCCATCTGGGAACTTAACTGATTTTAGCCATTAACACAATTGCTTTTTATCATTCTTTGACAATGTGTAGCGCGCTTGTGGCATCTCAAATTTTTCACCATTACGCTTGAGGTGTAGTTCTTTTCTAATCTTCATTGCTTCTAAATCCAACCGACTTTTGAATGTATCCTTCGTTTTACCTTCAATGTCCAATAATCTCCCGAACACATTATCGCATATGTTTTTCTCTATATGCATAATGTCTAGGTTGTGCCGCAACAAAAGGGTCTGCCAAAAGGTAGTTCAAAGAAAATACTCTACTTTATCTAGTTAAGTTCAAAATTTTCACGAGTTTGCTTTTTGTTATTTGGTCCCTTTCCGAAACTAACTTCGGGTATGCGGTTAAGTTGTTCCAGAATATCATCACCTGTCAACTGCTTTGGTGGCCCTTTATCTTGCTTCTCACCATTAAACTGCTTGTACCGCTTCCTAAAAACATGATTTAGTGACAAAAACATATGACTTCCCAAATAACATAACTTCCTTCCGTGTTTCAAATAACAAGAACATGTTTCTTTGTTACAATTTGGACATGCTAGATAACCCTTCGTCATCCATCCAGAAGCCATCGCATAGGCGGGAAAGTCAGTAATGGTCCAAATCATTGCCGCATGCATTTTAAAGTTACATTTACTGTAGGTATCATACGTCGTCACACCATCCCTCCACAATTCTTTTAACTCTTCAACTAAAGGCCGTAGGTACACATCAATATCATTACCAGGTGAGGTTGGACCAGGAATAAGCAACGACATGAACACATACGGTTCTTTTATACATATCCAAGGTGGCAAATTATAAGGCACAATCATCACAGGCCACATACTGTAGGAATTGCTCATGTTACCAAATGGATTGAATCCATCAGTTGCTAATCCAACACGAACATTATGAGGATCAACAACAAACCAACTATGCTTATTATCAAAATCTTCCCAAGCTTTTGAATTAGCCGGATGTCTTAACTCATTTGCCTCCTTCACACGTTTCTCCTTATGCCACCGCATATCTAAGGCTGTATCCTTCGACATAAACAACCGTTGAAATCTTGATTTCAAATGGAAGTACCGAAGAACTTTTTGAGGGATTTTCTTACCCTTACCTTTGTGAGGTTTATACCTCGACTCACCACATTGTGGACAATTTTCCTTACCTATATTCTCTTTCCAGAATAGAACACAATCATGTTTACATGCATTGATACACTCATATCCGAGACCCAAATCTCGCAACAAGCTTTTAGTCTCGTAGTGAGACTTTGGTAACACATTGTTGTCCGGAAGCATCTCCTTAAATGCCATAAGCATCATCTCAAATGATTTATTGCTCATTCTAGTCATAACCTTCACATGTGACAACTTCGAGAATTTTTGATATTCTGGCCACAATTCACACTGTGCATCATTTAACAATCTAGCAAAATTTCCTCCTCCCACATCAACTTTAGGCGAATCTTCTTGTTGTTGTGCATTATTGAAGTTTCCCATTTGTACGTTATCCAACAACTCAAATACATTATCTACATTTCCATCTTCATCATGGGCACTTTCCCCACTAACATTAGCATCAATATTAACATTATTATTGGCTTGAGGAACCTCCCCGTGATATATCCAATTGGTATACCCCTTGTCCATCCCATTACTCAAGAGATGTTGCTTAACTTGTTTAATTTCAAGATATTCCTTATTTTTGCAACGACGACATGGACATCAGGTAATACCGCCTATTTGTAAATGACGACTAGCCACCTTAATGAAGTTTTCTATGCCATCAAAATAGGTTCGACTACCCCTAGTGTGATGATGAATCCAAGACTTATCCATCTAACTGGCATTTTACATAAAATAAAAAATAAAAAAGTTAGAATATCAATTATAAACAAGTCATTTGACCTTAAAAAGAAAAAACATACAGATGGCGAATATTGAAAAAGAAGCCAATCACAAAAAGTTATATTTCAATATTCACAGTTACAATCACTTTGGCGCGACAAATATTCCACCATCATTTTAAAATCACGTCAATCACAAAAAGTTATATTTCACACACAAGAAAACACTTTTACCCTGCAAAATCTCCAAATCTCTATTACCCAAAAAGGAAAATAATAGGACCTACTTTCTACTGAAAAAATGACTAAGATTAACCTGTTGATATAAGATTAGTTTAGGTCTCCCTTGCTCAGATGATATAAAAGGGTAGCAATATAACCTATTTAAATGAAATTATTTAAAGAAACTGAAAATATTCTGCGAAGGAAAGAGGGAAAAAAAGAAAAGAAAAGAGAAAAGGCTTAGAAAACAGTCCATGGGAAGGTTTGACCACAATGATTGGATAATGATTCATGATAGGTTAAATAGCCAGTATTTTACAAATTATGTCAGGCATGAAAGAGTTCAAGCACTAAGAAATTTGCATGTTCACTCATGTGAATGTGTGTGAGTGCAAGAATGCGTAATTGTGTCTGTTAGAAAGAGATACATAATAACCATCACCAACCCCATGAGAGGTAATAATTGTAATCAATCATAAGTCATAACATAACAAAACAGAACAAGCAACTCATAAAACATGAAAAGCATCTGGGACCTTTATGGTAAAATTAAAATTAACATACACAGACAACAGAGGAGGTGGTAATACAAACATAAGTTTCCACTAACCTTGTGCAAAACAATGTCAAAACGACCTTGATTTGAGAGAGGTCTATTTTGGTCAATAGCAACAAATAAAATTCCTTTGTTCCTGCATGGAACCATTTATGCAATTAGCTTCTTATTGACGATTGAAAACAAAGAGAAATATAGTGAATATGCTAAAGATGGATTGAATTATACAGGCACCGTTATCTTAATGTATACAATGAAAATCTTTAAAAAAAAATAAAAAATAAAAAATAAAAAAAAACCCAAAATCATAGAATAAAACAAGAATCAATAGCACAGGACAACAGCATCCGAGGAAATTATACTATTTCAACTTTTTTTACAATCATTAGTGCCTACCATATTATATGATGATAGTTTCATTTTAAATAATCAAGATGCCAACCCCATTGACAATAGCAAATTAGTAAATAGACAAAATACAAGACAATTCAAATTCCACATACATCGAAACATGCCAAAAGCTTCTCCTTTCACAGTGAACTAGTAAAGAGGTATCAGTTTTATAACCCATAAAACAACAGAATAAAAACTCAATCAACTGGCCCATACAAACTGAAATTCAATCATTCCAATGAACATCTCAAAGCTGTTGGAATGGGACAAACATGTAGTCCAATATAGTGATTAACAAACAAACATTGAGAGGACATGACAGAAGAATGAGTGGCAACATGTTAGTGGCCGGTACCACAAATAATTAAGATGGTGGGTATCAAGGTTGAGCAAAACCTATTTATGAATTTGATGCAGACGCTACATGTCACCAGCGGCTGCACGTATGCAGACGCTACATCAGCAACAACGAAGGCAGCTTTGAGGATGTTGACTTGTATTCGAATTTGATGGGAGCCATTTCTGTTGTAGATCATATATTGTATATACAATTATTTTCTGCACAAAACCTTGCAGATCATTTCAATATCTCAATGATTGCAAATCTTGAGATTAATGTACAATTAATTATAAATCACTAAATTATATCTGGTTCACATATTTAAGAGAAGGAACTGAAAAGAAAAGCCAATAAAAATGAAAAGAAACAATTTTGTCATATTTCATTTCATGCTAAAATTTGATGAAATAAAATTTTTTTTTTCTAAAAATAGTCTCAAATAAGCTGAAAATAAATGACACATAAATTCAATTTTATAAAATAATTAATTAAATATATTCAAAGGCACATATAAATTTTTTTTTTTTCTTTGGGGGCTTCAACGGCCAACCTCTTGTTCTTAAACATGTAGGGAAAATATCAATCAATCAATCAATCTCACCATTTGATGATAATATAAAATTAAATATTTCTCTCTTACTGTATGGTGCCTATATTTTCTTTTTCCTGCGTACTTTCTATAATAAAAACAAAGGAAATTTTTTATAAAGACAACATCAATTTTGAAAACTACATAATCTCTTAAAACCAGAAACAGCTAATTCATAATAGAAGTGCAAAAATTAAAACTAAAGGGATACATTATTAATGCATAATAGTAGTACACATGCACTTATGTGGTGAGTCCATTAAAATGGCATTTTTCCATTGAGCTAGGCTTATGTTATACGTCCTGCGACTAGAACAAAAAAGATGGAGTTTCAATAATTCATCGCTCCTCAGCAAAAAATAAAAAAGGCACATAAAATAAAAAATAAAAATTGGAACCAGCAGAAAATCAATAATTCATCGCTCCTCAGCAAAATCAAATCCACTGTAATAAAAGATGGAGTTTCAATAACAACTTTTTTCCAAGATTGGGTCACGCCATATCCCTCCATCACCATTAATATTACGACGACTCAGCACACAAAGGCCTCCTCTAAACACCTTAATTCTATTGGAAACTTGTAATGTAATATGTGATTTCAACTAGATTATTTTTTTTGAACAAATGTTCATCAACTGTCAATCAAATTACATGGTGTAAGTTCACATGGATAATTAAAACCTTGGGATTTCATTTTAAACTCAAAATAGCCTACAGGTTAATATCATTTCTCAGAAAAGATGGAAGACCATGTAATTATGGTAAATCATTATACTTTGAAAAAAAATATTTTCTTATAACAGTACCATGTACCCACACTACGATTATTATTTTGGTTATGAGAGAGAAGCTTTGTCTGATTTTGTGCGAATTTTTGTCACAAGAACAAGAAGGGAAATTAGGGTTTAAAGTACTTACAACTTACAAGAGCCCAACCCTTCAACCACCACTGTCCAAACCTCCGATGCACCACCAATCGACCACCAACGCACCACCCGCACCACCAATCGACCACAGCCGTCGTGCTCTTCCCTAAGCCACACCTCGCACACCACCAAGACCTGATGTCGTGGGTAAGAAAGAAGAAAGGAATCACGATATGAAATATAACCTAAACCCAAAACCTGCTATATTAGGGAAAAATAATAATAAATAAAATAATAACAATTAAAAGAAGGATGCTTATTGGTTCAGATGCTTATTGAGAAATTCCAAGGATATACCTATCTGAGATATTTAGAACCAAGATCGAAACAAAAGAAGGAAAAAAGAATTAAACCACCATGCAAACATCTTAGACATCAATTTGCCAACAATCATTCCAACTTCGGAATACAAATTCAATCAATATTCGATTCACAGCTAAAGACACTTTAATCATCACCAAGAAGATTAGCACATCTAACACTTACAACACCGGAATCCATAAGAAGAATATTCAAAAATGAAAAAGAAGGGTTTGTGAGAAGATAATGGACCTGTTGATGGACGGACTTTGCTGCCTCTCAATTGAATTGAATTAGAGCGATTGGGGAAGACCAAACCAGTTTGAGTGAGAGGACGGAAGGAGAAAATCGACCTAGGGCATAAGAAATTTAGCAGAGTGATCCCTCATGGATTACATATACAGATCTATACTTAATTGAAAAGAAAGATATCGGTTGGGGAAGAACAAACCAGTTTGAGAGAGAGGACGGAAGAAGAAATCGAGATAGGGCCGGCTAGGAAAAATCTTCAGACAAATCGAATAAGAAATATATATATAGATATATACTTAACTTGACAAAAACTACGGCGTTTTTATATATGTACAGTTAATTAATGAGGGTAACTTACCGTCCCAAAAGCGTATTTGATAATTTTTTATTAAAACAATATAATTTCACTTAAATATCCTTTTGGGACGGTAACATTACCGTCCCAAAAGGCTATTTTGATAATTTTTTATTAAAAAAATTTATAATTTCACCAAAATTGGCGCTAAGGTTTGCCGCCAGCAGATTGGAGGGGGCGCTAATTTTTTTTTGGTCTTTTAGGGACGGGAAGGAATATAGTGTCACCAAAAAGGGTGTCTTTAGGGACAGTTTTCCTATTGTCCCTAAAGGACTGTCACCAATAACCCAAATTCTTGTAGTGAGGTATATAACCTTACTTCTTGGCACCTTGAACCGATAGGGATTATGTGGAACTGGTAGGGACATGGCAAAATGCTAAAAGACTTAAAATTTTTCCAGAAAAATTTCTATCGGACTTTTTGAATCACTCAATGTCCAAGCGAAAAAAAAAAAAAAAAAAATCTATAAATTAAAATCAAAAATCTTTTTGAATTTTTTACAGTTTATCCATTTATTTAAAAAAAAATTTATATATTTTTTTAAACAAATTTAAGAAAAAAAACATTGAGAAGTCAACCAAAGTCTTTCAAGTCCACATATGATCCAAATTTCCAAAAAATTGTCAGAGATACCTATGAATGAAAATTTTGATTCCACATGCAATTCAATCAATTTCAATTCTCATGAAATAATCACTACACGAATTTTAACTTGCAAATTTTAATAAAACATTTAGAAATCAATCTAGCAATTTCAAGTATGTGTTTGCAATCCATCTCATTAATTCTCAATCAATTATCAATAAATCATTGTCTAAACCATATTGATCGAAAAATATCAAGATAAAATTGTCTTTGAGTAATATTTGTAAGTAAGGTGGCTTTCACTCTAAAGAGCAGACATCAATTCCCCATTTCAACTTGTCTTCACCTTTCTTTTTACTCATTTAGCTCCACTTCAAAATTTAATGGGAGCTTTCGAACACATCTCAATAGGTAACCTTTTCCTAAACAAAGAATTCAGGATTTTTCAAAATTTTCTTTTCTTTTTCAAGTTGAATTTATTCATTTTTATTTTTTTTTTCTCTTGATTTCAAGCTCCTATTTTTTCAAACAATAACCTTTATAGCTTTTATGATCAATATACCCTAGTCAACAATTCAATGATTTTCAATCAAATTTTTTCAGATTTGGACTAGTGCACAAAAGGTTATGAACTTAATAGATTCAAATCTAAAAATTTTCATTGTATAGATTACAAACCAATAATCTATTTTTAATAAAAAATCATGTGTCCAAATTTGCATTCAAAGATAGATCATAAATTCAATGGAAGAATTTTCTCAAATATATCATGAAAACTATGATTAAAGACTCAAACCAAAACCAAACCCTTGCAAGTGATCCAATGGCTACAAAATTTTCTATTAAACACAAGCCATAATCACTGAATTTCATATGACTCAGTTTGAAGGTGAAGTCCTTTTGGAAACTTGTTCCATGGACTCAACAGGCACATAGTTGATCAAATCAAACTTTTTGATCCAAACAGTTCTCACTCTCATTTTCTAAAATTCTCTATCTTTCTTTACCTCTTTCTTAGGCAAATTTTTCGCTCTAGAAATATTAGGTGTCACAATATTCTTTTTCTTCCTAGAACACATCTTTTTCTTAGTATGAGAATTTTGAGAATGAATTTTAGAAAAGTCTTTATTTTTCCTGTGATGGCATGAGTTATACTAATGTCCATTCTTTGCACAAAAAATGCAATGCAACAATTTAGGCATATAAAACATATTAGAATGTGATGCATCAAGCAAACATGAATCAAGCATATGATAATCAGAAGGTTTAACAAAAGTTATTTTACCTTGACTACAAGATATACCTTTAACAAATCCAAACCCAGTTTTATCATTCATATCCTTACCCATGTTGATGATCTTATTCAAACTATTTTTGCTTATATTGAATCCATTCAATTTATCTTGTTCAGATTTCAATTCAATTTCAAGATAATCATTTTTCAAAGCAAAACATTCCTTCAATGAGTTAGCAATACTTACATTATCCTCAAGAATGATGATCTTCTTCTCAAGCTCAGTGATGATATAATTACTTTCAAAAGCTTTCCTTTTGCCTTCATCAATCTGTTTCTTTAGATCTTCATTCTCTCCTTTTGTTTAGATAAGCTTTTTTACTAGCTTATTGATTGTCTGTTTGACTTCAATGGTTTCTTCGACCATCTTCTTCAATATTTCATCGTCCTTTTCAGCCTCTTGTACCTGTTCATCATGAACTTCATTGTCTTCATTATCCGAAATATCAGAGTCAGATAAAGTAACAACATGAGGACCTCTATCAAGAAAAACGACATAAAAAAAGTCATTAGAATCATCATGAGGAGAATCATTATCACTTAAAATAGAATTTTCAGTTATAGAAACTTTCATTACTTTTCCTTTATTCCTATCCTTTTGTTCTTTCCTATGACTAGGACAAACATTGGATGCGTGACCTTTGCCACCACAATTCCAGCAAGTGAATTCGGTTTCTTTAGATTCCTCTACTTTATTTTCATTAAACCTAAATTTTGATGTCTTGTCAATATTTTGAGGATTAGCCATGTTGTTATTCCTTCTCCTCTGTTGTCTTTGCAAGATCTGATTAAATTGTCTTGACAGAAAAGTAAAATCATCATCAGAGTTATCATCGATAGAATTCTCAACCTGTGTTGATTTTAAAGCAAGATTTTTCTCCTTCTGATTTAAATCAAAGTTCTGCATCTCAAAAGTTTTCAATGAACCTACCATCTCATCAACTTTACAGGAAGTTAAATCCTAATGTCCAGTGATGGTTTCAACACTAATCTGGAATCTTTCAGATAGAGACCTTAAGATTTTTTCACAGATTTTCTTATCACTAACTTTTTTATCTAAGTAACGTAGTTTAGAAATTATTTTAAGAAGATTAGAATAAAAATCAGAAAAGGATTCATCTTCTTTCATCACGATATTCCCAAAGTTATGAGAAAGCATTTCAATTTTGGACAACTTCACTTTTGAAGTTCCTTCATGAGTAACCTGCAAAGTATCCCAAGCTTCTTTAGTAGTTTTACAATCAGAAATTCTAGCATATTCAGATGAAACAACAGAATTAATAATTGCATATAAAGCTTTGCTATTAGCATCATTACGCTCAATTTCAATAGCAGTAAAAACAAAAGCATATTTTAACTCTTTGACTTCTTTAGTATCCATAGTTTTATCTATTGTATGTGGTGTATAACCAGATTCAACTATTACCTGAGTTTTACCAACAGAATTTTGCAAATAGGCTCTCATATTTGATTTTCAAAAATTGTAATTATCGTCTTCAAACAAAGGACCACGTTGATTAGAACCACCTTCTTTCAACTCATAAGACACGATTAAAAATCAAATTTTGAAATCAAAACAAAAATTTCCAACAAGGATCAACTCAATGTGTAGAGATTGGCTCTGATACCAATTTGTAAGTCGTACAAAGTGGAATATTTAGAAAGTTTTGATAATTTTAAAATAGATTTGTGTCTTTTCTAACATTACTTATTTTAGCAATTAAACAATTAATCACATGCAGATAAAACAAAGCAAAGTATAAAGTTAAAGATGACACCACGATTTTTAGTGAGAAAACCCCAGTTGATAAAATATGTCAACTATTTGTATGAGAAAAACCTCGTGGACTGTGCATTCTAAAGTAAACCGATCCACTATGCTTAATATAAAGTACACTATACTTTGAGTCTGGCTCACACCCCATCGTTTTACTAAACACCAACTGCTGACAATTCTCTAGCTTTGCGACTCCCCGTCCAATAATAACTTGATCTGAGGCTTATGCATGATATTTGTAGAATAGTAGCAAGTAGATTAGACAACACTCCTCGAATGCTCCAACCCTTTCAAAGTGTGATCGCTTTTACTTTTGTTCTTCAATCGTCTGAATTCGATGTAAAAGTAGATCTATTTTTGTTTGATCAATGTAAATGAAACTGTATGATCACGATTAGGATTTGAACACCACAAATCTAAACTCACTATGTGTTTGTGTATGTATTCTAGAAAGATGACAGAAAAATCAACTCTGATTTTCTGCAAAAATAATCTTCCTAAGGCTTTTAAGAATAATGAATTTGTAGAATAAAAGCCATGAATAAACCTATATGTATGACATCATTTATATAGAGGTTTGCAAAGTCTTATTCCTTTTGAAAATAGAGGAAATTTCATGCATAGGACTTGGAAGGAAAGTTGGATCAAAAAGGAATCAAAACAGAACAAGGTAACTGAAAAACTGTTGCAATCAGGACTTCTAGAACTGGTTCCCAAATCATGATAGCGGTTCCCAAAAGATAAAATAGAGTTCTTGAATCTCAGCTTCTGGAACAGTTCCCAAATTTAGGTACCGGTTCCCACTTGACAGAATCCAATTTGAACTTAGATTTTCTGTTTTGGAAACTCTAAAAAATATACCATATAGGTATTTGTATCCTAAGTGGGAAACGATGTCCTAACATGTTGCTTTTTCCTTTTCGATGATCAACAGACTTTCCTCTTTTGAACAAACTTCTAATTCCGCAATCGATGTCGAATCTGATATGGTAATGAAATTACAACTTGACCAGGACTTGTTTTGTTATCGAAATATGCCAATTACAAAAATATATCTCACACATTCTATTCCACTTTATTTCATTCCATTCCCACTTACCAAACTAGCCCTCACTGTATTACTGCTCAACTCAACCATGACAATTTTCTCACATGGAGACATCAAATGGTTGCCTACTTGAAGGGTTAAAATGTGTATGACTTTGTTAAAGGGACGACATCACGTCCTCCAGCACAAACTATTTCTAATCCCACACCTTCGGCTGATTCTCCTACTACTGTTGCAAATCTAGCTTTTCTCACCTGGATTCAGCAAGACCAACTGGCACTTAGTACGGTTACCATTTTATCCTCTATATCTGAGAGTCTCATCTCTCAAGTGCTTGGTTATTCCACATCCTTTAAAGAGTGTGAAATGCTCTTGAGCACATGTACTTCTCCAATTCACGAGCGAGGATCATGCAAGTCCACTTTCAACTGGCCATGCTCGGGAAATGAGGCTCCATAATTTCTGAATCATTTCAGAAATTCAAAACCATTGCTGACACACTTGTTGTAGCCGACTAACCTCTTAATGATTTTGAGTTGGGATTAGTTATTCTTGCTGGGTTGGGGTCTGAATTTGATACTCATGTCACGTCAGTAACCACCCATGTGGACCCAATGTCCACTAAAATTATATGCCCATTTTCTCACGCATGAGATGCGACTTAAGCACAACACTACTATGACATATTCTATATTACCTTCAGCTAATAAAAAAATAAAGGTCCTCACCGTCGCTCTCACGCTTCTACTGGAACTAATTCTCAGATTCGATCCGGTGGCAACAATTTTAATAGGAACCATGGTAGAGGTCGTGGTAAGGGCCCACTTCATCATTCCAATAGCAATAACTCAAGACTGGTTTGTCAAGTTTGTAATAAAACCGGTCACATTGCTCTCAGTTGTTATCACAGGTTTGACTACTCCTTCCAAACGGATAACTCACCTAATATTAGGTGGCAAAGTTTGACACGATCCGCTAATACGATTCGAACATGACACAAGTTAAATGGGTTTGGGTTGACTTTAAATGGGTTCGGGTCATAAACAGGTCGACATGATTGACCGTTTAGTTAATCGTGTCGTGTTTGGGTTGAGGGTTCAACCCGTATAACCCATTTATACCTATTTAACTACACGTGTTATAAGTAAATTTCTATTTAAGTTTCAAAATAACTATCTAAACTTGTATATTATAATTTATTCTTTTGTAGATTAAAAATTATTTAGTAATTTGATTGGATTGAAACTTATATTTTTCTACTATTTAATGTTTGATCGAGTATTATTAATAATTTAAATAATAAAATATTTGATTTTATTAAATAGGTTATTAAATGGGTTACACGTGTAACCCATTTAATAAACATATCGGACTAGTATTGAGGGTTCCTAACACGATTATTAAACAAGTCGTGTTCATGTTGAGTTATTTAGTAGAATACCCTTATATCGACAAGACACGATTACGACCCGCAAACACAAATTGCCACCCCTACCCAATATGTAAGCTTTTGTAGCTTCCTCATCTCCAGCTGATAGTGTTGTCAATTGGTACCTAGATATAGGGGCTATTAATCATGTTAAGATAGAACTTGTTAAGCTTAATCTTCACGCAGATGACTATGGTGGTACTGATCAACCCATGTTGGCAATGGGCTAGGTTTGGCTATATGACATACTAGATCTTCTAAATTAATCACTCCCTATGCCATTTTTTTGTTAAAAAATCTTCTTCATGATCCACATATTAAAAATAATCTCTTATCTATTTCATAATTTACTCGTGACTATAATGTCTTCTTTGAATTTCACCCAACTTTTTCCTGTGTTAAGGATCCACTCATGGGCAATATTCTACTTCAAGGCCAGAGTAGAGCTGGGCTCTCCATGTTTATCTCAAGTCCTCCTCCTCCTCGATTAGCCTTGATGGGTGAACGTGCTTCCATGGATAGATGGCATTGTAGACTACGTCATCTTTCCCTTGGAATTGCTAGCCAAGTTATTCGTGCTCATCACCTTGCTGTTAACCAAAATAAAATCTCTGGTGTTTGTCCGGATTTCGTATGTGTAAAAGCCATGACTTACCCTTTCATCTCTCCCCATATATTTCAAATTATCCTTTGGAATTGCTTTTTATCGATGTATGGTTCCTTCCCCATTTTCATCTATTAATGGAAATTGGTATTGAGTGTTTTGTTGATGATTTTAGTAGATTTATGTGGTTATTTTCCATTGCTACTAAATCTGCTATTGTCCTTGCATTTTTTAAATTCCAAACACATGTAGAAAATTTCTTTGATAGAAAAAAACAATCCAATCAGTGAATTTCAGGCCCTCAAATCCATTTTATCAAGGCAAAGCATCTATCATAGGATCTATTACCCTCATACTCATCGCAAGAAGGTTTCGTGGAATGAAAACACAAAAACAATTTCGTGGAAACATGCCTTTCTTTGATGGCCTCAACTTCCGTGCCATTAAAATTTTGGGATGAAGCCTTTTTAATGTAGGAAACGGGGCATACAAAACATAAACTTTGGATGAAATTTGGAGTACATTCCACTAAGAATTTTTGCGAATCTATAGACAAGCGTGTTCCTTTCCGCAAGGAGATGAACATAGTATATTTATTTTCTTAAATCTGTTTATGGGTGA